ATGCCCAGCATCAGCAAATTATTCGATTTAATTACAGTGACTTCAGAAAGACGTCCAACAATAACACAATGCACGTCCGTTCTTGCTAATATTGAAAGAACTGGGCAGAAGAGAGAGCTCTACCGCTTTATAATAGATTCATCTGAACCAAACTCCACAAGAGTAGATACGCTATGGCTTAATCAAAAGGATTACAATTACATTAACGTCACATTTGCCGCCTTTTATACAGGACCGGAGAATATAGCACTTCCAGAATATGTCAAAGGGTTCAAATTTGGAATAACGTCAGGGAAAATTCAGATTGGATTATCGAAAGTTGATAGAAAAAGTAAGATATTATTGTGAAGTCACTAGTCTCTATTTGTTTCAAGTTTAAGAATTTATCATTTTGTATTGTCTTTTTACTTTTGGTCATCTTTAATATTTGAGAAAACAATTGTTCGATTTCCATTGTATATGACTTCAATCCAGAATTCCTTAGCAAATGTATTGAAATCGGAGGGTAGTATGAATGAAATGTGAAGTTAACTTATCTGCAAAAATGATATTTGTCTTTACTTTATTAGATCAGAACAAACCCTTTGTGAGCCAAAATGAGACCAAAAATTGTCGTTTCCAACCTGGATCACTTAATCCAAATGATGATGTTTTTCATTGCAACTTCACGGATGAAAATTTTGACTGGCTATTCGAAAACGGAGACAAGTAATAAAAAAAACAATTAAGCATTCAAATAGCTATTTAAGGAATGAATTAATGAGCAACCGAAGTTCTATTGTATAACCTGGTTTGGCTCAGTTTTCGCTTTTTTGTAAACCGCGAAACTGCTCCAACCCAAGTTATATTTGTATAACTTAGGTTGCTATTTAATTCAATCTTCATAATTTAATTCTCAATTATTGAGTAAAGAAAACGTGATAATTTCTCCCTTAACAATCAAAAGACGCGTTACAATCATAATAAAATTTTGTACGCATTATTTTTGTTTAAATTCAGGTTCAGTGATACTCTGATAAGGTCGCCCGCGTGGCGTAGTGGTTAGAACGTCTGTTCTAGAGTCGCGAAGTAATGAGTCTATCCTTACGCCGCGGGTTCGAATCCCACTGTGGGACATGGAGACCGGTCCTTCGGATGAGACCGTATAAACTGAGGCCCCGTGTCGCAGTAGGTGCTGGCACAAAAAGATCCCTAATTACTCAATGGCCCTGAGTGCCGAGTATAGGACAAAATTTGTAGCTCTTCACCGGCAAGTGGTGGCGTCTCCACGCATATGAGTGAGAAATTCTCGAGAGGGACGTTAAACCACATAATGTAGGCCTTTCAACTAATTTTTCAAGTTGCACATACGGTAAAAAAAATTACATAGATAGATTTATAGGTACATGAAATTATCAAAAAAGATGATAACTTATGCATACTTTTAATTACATCATTAAAAAGTTTAATCATTTATAATTGACTTTTCCGACGTTGTGTTTAAGGACAGGTAACTCAGGTGTGAAAAATGACCAACTTAGTGCCGATTTATCGGTTATCGTTTATAGGAATGACATATAGGCTGCTTCAGCATTGGTATTGTTATATACACAAAAGGGTTCCTTACATTGTTTTGTACACAAAATGTTTTGACCAAGAGAAAGAGAATGCCTTCACTCTACCTGAAATAACAGGTCAAATGAATGGGGAACAGACTATATTCAATAGATTTAACTCTATTTGACGATTATTATGAAGAAGAAAATTTAATGTCATGTTTTTTGTGTTCGCGCTTTTTCGCTTCCTGTGTAAATATGTATATATTTACAAGTAAATGCAACAATTGATCATCTTATTTGTGTTACTAAGCACGAAGGGGAAGGACCGAGTATAAAAATTTAAATAGGTTAGAACTGAGAAGGAGGGTAGATTTCACTTTTTATTTTAATTAAAAATTTTAATTATATGCAGTAAACCGGTGTCCGCAAGTATACAGTCAAAAAGCTTAACAATGGTGCTTAATTCTAAAACCACTGGATTCTACTGAGAGCAAAAAACACTTGGGAAATGGTAAAAACTGCCTTGCGTGTAAACACGAGCCTGCTCTAAACAAGTTTCAGCAGTGAGTTATCGTTCATAACACCGACCCCTAGCGGCAGTTGAAAGGCCTACATAATGTACAATCAATCAATACTCTGATAAGAGTGATAACTCTAAATGAGATAAATGTCTATTATTCCTTTAAAGATTTGCCAAGTTGAAATGTCTCGTCCAATTTTGCCCCACAAGCTATGATATAATTGTTTGTATTTTACTTGTATGTATGAAACATCATTAAGGTTCAAGCATCAATTTATATGATTGAGCAGAGTGTTTATGAACCGTAAACGTTTATGGATATTTTGATTAATTAGCCTATAACACGCATTCTCAGTTTATAGTGCCAATTCGACTTTGGGAAAAGTAAAAAAAAAATGTGAGCTGAAACTAACATTTTTATATGTCATTTGAAACATGAAAGTGTATAGTTATTAAAAATCACAATTTGATTTACATATACTTCGTGCTGTGTTTTGTTGACCTCCTTCGAAATGAATGCGGTTGGAGGGCTTATTTTACACCAAGATATTAACGTGATGTTGTTAAGCCATATTTGGAAACGAAAGATTTTTTTAATACAAAATTAAGATAATACACATCAAATTTTGTTAACTATAAACATTTATGAAACCATTTGAGCACATTTGTAAAAGGGTGTGGAATCTTTTATTCAATTATGAGTAAAAACAAAACAGGCATAATTTTCATTTTAATGAAATTATTTTCTTTTTATTTTATAAGGTTTTTATCAAATCTGACGATAAGCTAAATAAGGACAATACTCCCTAAAATGCTTTATTATTTGATTCTTCATTAATCTGTTCAGAGAAACGCACATTATTTAAAATATAAGAAGGTAAAATATTTCGCCATTACCTGGTTACGAAGTGTTTGTTAAATATCACGTAAATATCGCACATAGACATCATACAAAATAAAAAGTATATTCGGGGGGAAATGATTATATTATTTCAAATTTTTGAATTTTATGAATTTTCTTATCTGTGTTCTTGACAAAGGGTTGAATTTAAAATTCAAGCTACATATCTATAGATGAATCATTTAATTTATGACACCCCTTCCACCATTTAATCTGTTGATTACATGTATTTCAAATGCCTAATTGCTTGTGAAAACTCGTAAACTGAATTTTCAGTACTGTTAAAGCATAGACGCATACGTTTTAAGTTCTATGTTTAAGCAACAATTTAAATGGAAAAAAAATTAGGTGCACAATTTAATACATGTATTTCTTGCAAGGCAACAAAAATGGAAATGGATTCAATTTCGACCAGTTTCTTGACACCCAACACCCACAGCCGTCTTTTTTCTTTGACCCGATGTGGGAACCCCCCCCTTTCCCCTATATGCAGCGCAGCGCCTATTCTCTGAAATTATATTTCCTACAAAAAACGATATTTTCTTTTTAAAAATGTTTAGCTTGGTGTACAATTTAGGTGCATATAACGATTTTTTTTAAGTTGACGATACACTATCAGTTCAAACAAACAGCAAAATACAAACTTTAAGAAAATTTTGTTTCAGATTTACGTTCTGAATGATAACGTGTACATGTATTTAGGACTGTATCAATATATCGATATATCGATGGGTATGATATTCAACAAAGATATTGTAAGTAACTTCCAATACATATCGGACAGACACTTTTTCTTCAAATTCTGTTTAAAAGATGGGAATTTCAATTACCAAAGATTATATTTTACTTCTTTGAATTAAAACCTTCAATAATTACATAATTTCTAAGAAAATAACACAGTTTTTATAATTATTACAAAATACAAAGAGAATTTTTTTTTGAACATGTTGATTTTAAATGTCATCTAAAGATTTAATTGAAGTGTTAATTTAATCAATACACGCTATAAAAGGGGTAATAAATTTTAATTGTTAAAATGTATGCATTAAAATGATAGAATCCTTTTCTGATGGACTTGAAGAAAATCAATATATATCATATTGTTTAAAAAAATTTATTTATCACAAATTTTTCTCAAAACACAGCCCTAACTGTATTATCTTAAAACTGTAAAAAGCAACATTCGATCATTAAACCATAATTCTACTTAAATAATATGTCATTTATTTTCAAACCACACGGATGCACAAGATATTGTTTAAAAAAATGTGATTATTAATTCTGCACTTGTAACAGAAAAGAAAATGCCATTTTATGAAACAGTGTATTTCTTCATGTTTTTAGTTTTTAAATCGGTCAGATTCACTCGCAAATCTGTTAAACAGCTTTAGAATTTAAACAGTTCTTTTAGTAACGTACATGTAAATATTGGTAACGTAAATATATACGAATGATATTTATAAGATTTATAACTTTTAATGCTGATATATTTTATTATTCCATTGTTAATTAAAGGCATATTCTAGTGCTTGAAAAGTGTCTTCCAATTTGACCCATAGGAAACAGTTAGTTCTCTTCAAATTTGTGAATAAATACTAACAAGTAAATATCGATGAATTTTTTAACCCTTACTCATAAGATTAGGGGGCTATTTTTTATAAATACAGGTAAACAGTGTCTTTTTTACCATTATATAGAGGTGTTCATGATGTTAAAAAGTTACAACTTAATCCTATTGAGTCAGTTCAGCAATCATTTAAATCCTTTTGAATTTCCAAATAGAAAAGTTAATTTTGCGGTGACATCAAAATTTGATAAATATATTTAGATTTTTAAAAAATTGTGACACGCATATTTGTGAAGGGTGTGATATTCAGAAATATAACTTAAATGTAGGACAATGTAAGAAAAAGATATGTAAGTGATTTAAAACTTCTATTTGGTTTAAAATAAAAACTACACATGATCGGCGACAGTAACGTAAATATCGATTTCTGCTATAAAATGCGATTTTCTCCTAAGACAATCATTCAATGTACAACAAACAATTAGTGTATTTTAATCAACAACCAACAATGTTTCATATGACTGGCAGAAAATAAAATTTATTAGAAATATTATATAACTTAAAACACGGTACATTATTTATAGCGAATTGAGACTATACTTTGAGAATGCGTGAAAATAGGAATTGTTATGTAGATGTTAGACGCTACCTTCTACGATTAATTCCATTATATTTCTATGTCCTTAAACAGTTTAACGTTAACTGTTATTGCTGAACACGGAGGGTATCGAGAACTCGAAGGACCAGGAACTCAGTTACAGAAGGATCCCTTCATTGGCCAAAGTACAACAAAATCAACAATGTTTCGTTTTGACTTCAAGAAACCGCGTCATTGCCTTCAAGAGAGAGACTGCGCAGAAAAAGCCTTAGATGTAACAGAAGACATAACAAAGGTTCTTTAAAATATATATATTTTAATTTTCTTTCACGTTAAATATTTCTTTAAGGGGGATGTACGGCCACATTTAGTGCAGTGAGAGCAAAATGTAAACATTTCTTCAAATGGCTAAAATACATTATATTTTGATCAAAATTTAAGTCTTTTTGATAAAGATACAATAAATATGCATAACCGAATGCATGTTGTGCATATATAATCTATACTTTTGCAGAAAAATGCTTTTGATATGCTCCTTAGAACTGCGCAGCTACAGAATTCAGCAGAGCCTTAAAAAATCCAAAAAAATATGCAAACTGTGCATTAATGTTCTCTCTACAACCATTTGTTGAGAAAATGTCTAAATTTTGCACTTTTAAATGATAATTTCAAGTTCAAAACAAGGAACCATTGTCTTCAAAAAGAGTGTAAAGAACCATGAAAGTAGTTCATGGATAGCAGCACGTGGTCTATTTTTAGCACAGAATTTTGTTTTCCAGACCTCTTCTTAATATGGAAGGAAATAACAATCTTTAAATGTAGAAGAGAATTACAGTTGCAAAATATTTCAAATAATATGAACACTTTTAAAAGAGGAAAGGTGTTATAGTGTGGCTTGAAGTAATTTATTTAGTTTGAACATAATTTTTTTTTTCTATTTGCCCATATTTTCAAAATTACAATTGTACAAAGAAAAGAGAAAAAATCAACCTATAAACATCTTTAAAATGATGTTTGGTGGTCCTCCCAACTCAGTGAAAAATTATAGGGTCCATATTTATAGGTGAGAAAAAAATCCTTAAAATTTAAACAGAATTGTTTACGGAAGAAAAAAAAATATCGTGTAATGGAATGTTAAAAAAATGAGTCGGGCCATTTCTAGGCAGTAGATCGGGAGAGGGGGCAACCAAATATTTTTATAACAAGTGGTATTATAAGGCTAGTACATGTTCCATCACATACTTAGTAATGCAATTTTTTAAAAATCTTTAACTCTATTTTAAAAACAAACAAAGGATTTTCGGGGGAGGGGGGGGGGGTTAGCACTCACTTTTTTGCGATGATAGACATAGCATATGCAATAGACCTTTCATTGCAAACATTGTGCTCACTTCTAAATTTCATAGAAACAACTCATTATATTTTATCAAGCTTCGTATATTCAATGAGCGAGAGCTTACAGCGTTAAATGTCAACATAATGAGACATGATGCGTTTTTGTGTCCAAACATGACCCCATACAATGTGTGGGTCATTGCAAACATTCTAGCTATTTATGTGAGGTGCCTGAAGGAAATCCTATAAATGCCTATTTTTTGATCTAACTTATAAACAAAATAGACATATGTACCGACTTTTCGAATGTAAGACATGTAATTACAATTTATTTTTCATGCACTGTGTATTGTTTAACATTTTCAAATTAAATGCTAAGCATCCTTCTTGCAGCGCCCCATTTGAAAATAACTTCTATCGCCACAGAAAAAAGACCACCGTAAACATATATGTTTAGGACATTTTTATCTTTTTTTCTTGAGTTTTAAAGAAACCAACAAATTATCAAGACTTGTTCCATGAAAAAATTAATATAATCATGGTAATAAACGGATTTATCCACAGCAGATATATGCACATGCCAACCATGTGCTCAGTGGAATAATTTTAGCGAGGAATTTCGAGTTGTAAACAGAACAGTTTTTCCCGATTTGCTGGAGTGAGGTTAAAATCGCGTTTTTTCATTAATCAGACGACGCGATGCAACAAATAAAAGTAGTAAGTAATATAACCTTATGATTATTACTTAGTAATTTCTTGTCTTGGTTTTATAATGGTCGCATTTATTCTTACACCAGACTATAGATCCAATATGGCTTGTACATCCCCCTTAATGCACAAGTAAAAAAATTTCAGACTGTCAACAATATTAATTCCCCCCTTTTTTTTTTAAAGTTATGTGTTGACATTCTAAGTACATGTAAACGATAGATATGTTCCCGCTATTTCACATATGCGATAACTTCGCATCTTAAAAACTTTTTTGTCGATGTTTAAGTAAAATTTTTTTATTCAACTTCAGATTCGAGCTACATGTATACTTAAAATATATTTCTTTTATATTTTAAAAAGAATTGTACTTAAAAGTTACAAAAAATGAATAAAGCACCGTTTAAGCTAGTTCTAACGAGTATATCAGAGCTGATACACTACAAGGTTTTAGAATAGTTGATTTCTGCATGCATCGGTTTCAACTTTTCTAACAGTTTGGCTCAAAATAATGATATTATTTTGCTTGATATATTTTTTTATACGAAAGTCCCCGATAACATTTACTTGGAACAAATGGAACGATGATCTCTCAGGACTAAAAGAATACAAACTGCAAGTTTATTTGCTAAAACCGAATACAACATACCTTACAGAGCCCTACCCGTGGAACCCACTTGAAGAGATTGTCATTAACGACACCAATGTAAATGTTTGGTATTATATCCCCCCAATGGCAGGGATGTATTCGTTTATTTTAAACGTGATAGACAATGCCAACAACACACAGTACGCTCGCACCTTGGTCTTGTATGATCCTTCATCAAGCGTCACTCTGTCGACTTCACCGTTCATTGCCACAAGTGCTGAACCAGAGACGAACTACATGTGGCAAAATAATCTCAAAAATAACATTACAGTATCATGGAAGGGACGCTTTGAAAACAAATTTCACGATACAAATAAACTTCTGAATCAGGTTTCACATTATCAACATTTTGATCATATGATAAAATACGAAAAGCATGTCCCACAACAACTTGATGATAAGACGGGGAATAGAACGCTGGAACGTATACCAAATATTCGTGGTATAGTGAAATTTGACTATTTCTATAGGAATGGAAACCAGGGCAACAGGACGCCCACGTCATGGGTTCCAGTAGGAAATATATCTTCAGAAAGCCAAACATTCTTTATGGACCGACAAGATGGAAATGCAATAAATTTCTGGGTCAGAGCAACCGACGTCATGGGGAATGAAAAAGTAGACATGACAAAAATATTCTTCGATTCCACTCCACCAAATGAACTGGCAGACTCAGATGTTAGATTCACACTTAACATTAAATCACCTACGTACGCTTTTTCGAGTCGGTAAGAAAAAAACCTTCTTTTGAGATTTTTGCATTCTCCTTTTATACAAATTCACAAAACCCCCTATATTTTTAGATTACAGGTAGATGCGCATGATAGAAATAGCGGAATTTATAAAGTCCACTTGGATCTACTAGGATACAGCAGCAACGAATTATTCCATGGAACTGATATAAAAGGGAATAAATCTGATGTAAATATCATACTCCTGTATTTCCATTTAAGTTTACAATATTATGAGCACTTTTTTAAAGTCATTAACTTAAAAAAACAAAAAACCAACCAAAAAAAAAAACAAAAAAAAAAAAATCAAAAAAACAATTTTAATAAAAATAACAGAGAAAAGATCGTATTGCTTGTTTATTGGCTGAATACAGGGGTTAAAAAAAACAATCGATTTTTTATGCATTCGTCAAAGTAATAGTGTGGATAAAATAAATTGGATCAAATTTTTAAAGAAAAAAATTACAACTAAGTCCGACATGTATTTTTCAAATGACTATTTTCGGTGCAGTTATTGAAAGAAGTAATTTTTTAAAAAATATTTATCTTTTAAAGTTCATCGATTTTTAAGTATGAGAGATAATTCTTAAAAACATAAATATCAATTATCCTTTCTGAAATTGACAAGTTGAAATGTCTTTTTTCGACTTTCTCACTTCATGCTATTTGTTTGCATTTTACTTAAATAATACATAATCTTTGAAAAATAAGCGCTAAAGCAGCATTTTATGTGAGTCAGCAGAGGGTAAATGAACCTAAAAAATCATGATCATTTTGTCTTTAATTAAGGTTGATGCTGGAATAAAAGTATACCAGATAGGGACGGGAGATTTCTATTATTTTAGTCATTACATTGACATCAACAATTGTTGGATGGTGCTGTCGAAGGAAAAATTCGCAAATGAGTTTGTTTTGTTACATTTGACTGTATATAACAACGCAATGAAAACTACCCGTTATAGTAAGACGGTAAGGAAAATTCGTGTGATTGCATGAATGACATATAATAACACTCATAACATGCTATTATAGAATCTATTTTTTTTTCTTCAAAATAATGAACCTTTATTTTTGTGTTTCACGACTTTTCACAGATTACAGATTTAGTTTCACTTGACGGCATAGATGAGTGTAAGTTATGTTATCAGTTTTTACAGTTTTATTGTTTATTTGTATGTAGAAAATTACAATGAACAATATTGTATACATAAGCTGTATAATATTCAGTTAAATCTTTCACAATGAACACAATATACAAATACACAATATAATAACTGCAATGTAATCTTATACAAGGTATACAATATGCACATTTTTGATATAATAAATGTCCACTCTAATCTAATACATTCCCTACAATATACAAATATACAATATAAAAACTGTTCAACCTAAACATATATAATGTATACAATATACAAATATATGATGTCTAACACTTTACAATATACAGTATACAATATGCACATATGCAAAGTAGTTACTGTACATGTGCAATATAAACTTCTACAACACATACAATATACAAATGAACGGTAAAAAACTGTTTAATCTTGTCTTATATAATATATACAATATACAAATATTCATTTTATGATCTATTCACTCTATGCATTGCATAAAATATACAAATATACAATATAATAAATGCCTCATCTTATCTGATACAATGCGTACAATACTTAAATGTACGTTTTAACTATAATTCAATCTATTCTTCTACAATTCATACAATACAATATAATAACTGTGCAATCGTGTCTTATACAATGCATTCAACATATAAATATACAAAGTGATACCTCTTATTTATCAGACACTGGCCCTAAAAATTTGACTGTGTTAGAAACCTACGACCACAGTGTTCGTCTGAAATGGATCGTATCTCCATCTTGCTACAAAAGGTCCAGGATCGTCCTACAGTTCCGCTCATCTAATGGCCGAACAGAGAACCGATTTATCGACAAGGACGCAGACTGGGTGGATCTGACAGGACTGAATCCAGAAACAAGTTATAACCTGTCTTTTATCACAGAGTATGGAAGACAAAAAAGTGATCCCGTGTTTCTGCACTTCAGAACTAACAAACTACGACCAGCCTCTGGTAAAAATTTCGTATTAGTATTATAGTCGACATAGGGTGGGGGTGGGGGGTAAACAATGGGGAGGACAATGGGAGGATGATACAGGTCATCATTCACTGTTTTTAAGACAAATTCTTATTTCGGTTAAAAAAAATCTAAATCACATGATTACTTCTTATTTTTAAAGGAATTCGTTGAAAGAAATATTTATTTTTTTCAAATTTTGTTTTTATGATTTGATTCATTACGTCTGAGATCATAAGATTTTTGTATATAATAGTAGTATAGCCGACATATGGGGTGGTGGTGGTGTAAACAATGGGCCTATTTTTTGAGAGACGAATGGGGCGAACAATGGGGGGGGGGGGGGATGGTCCGGATCATCCCCCTCTATTGTAAGGCCAGAGAAGGGGGCCAATGGAGCAAGGTTGTGGATGACCTCTCCGTGACCCGGAGGAGACTTTGCCGTGTCAGAGACACAATAATAACGGGATAATCCCCATTTGTTAACAAGACCATAAAGATACATGTAGCATATCTCCGGTAGCATAATGACCAGATGATGAGTGTTTATGACGTGGATGTAATGATATGTAATCATGTTTTTCTTAATTAAGTGGACAATTCATGGATATTTTTTTTTTTGCAGAACCGACAAGTACAGCTGCAACGGACACAATGGAAACAACAAAGTTTTTATTTTTATGTTACGCCGTATGTTATCTACAGGTCTGGTCATGTGTTCAATTGTTTCCATTGTTTGGAAACTATTTTTCGTTACACAATTAACATCTTCTTAATTTTTGTCAATTAAGAATTTTAAATCATTTGAACGTACTGGTAAAGTCTTTTATGTTCCTTTATATTTCTATATTGGTTTCTCTACAGCTTTAAGTACGTCCGAGACGGATAAAGTCACCGCCTCCTCTCTGATGACAACTCCTTCACTCCCCGGTATCTGTAAACACGACGACGTAACACCACAAGCCACATCTGACATTACAAACACTTCCCCTCTCAAGTCGCAAGAACGGAAAACGACCCATTTAACCACGTACGAACGAACTAAGACCACCTCGCCTACCCCCTCCCTCATCACACACAGCGACACGACTTTCCTAAATACACCCCCTTCCCCCAATACCTACGAAGACGGGAAAATCAACAGTACATCCTCCTCCCACATTACATCACCCGACGCTACGGACGCTTCAACGAGGGACACGACCCGTAGTACCAATGAGAGTTCGGACAAGGGTATCAGAAATGGACTTGACTATTTATTCATTACTTTCCTTGTACATTTATTAGTTGTTTTGTTTTGAACATAGTTTATTGATTGAATTGAACATATTTTATTGACAGAGTCAAAAGGATCTGAATAACTAGATATACAATATAATGTCATGCATCATTTGGAGAATCTACAATGTTTCGTCAATAAATTTATGAACAGCAGCAAAAATACTGTTATTTATCTGTAAAGGCAAATTAATATCACCATAAAATAATAAATTAATATCAATAGAAACCAAATTTAGCATGAACAAATGATTAAGAAGAGTGCTTCTGGCATTAGAGTAATTTGTGCATGCAAAAAAAGAAATGATAAACATCTTCGTTTTTTCCACATAAACATAATAGGTACTTACAATATTTTGTTTATATAGATCTTGGTTAAGTATACAGTAATGTCTTAACTTGGTATGAATGATATTTGTGTATTGTTTACCAAAAGAAAAGTATGATGGTGGAATATCAATTTTTGTTGTCAAGTTTTTTTTCGAAATGTTTTGACTAAAACGGCTTCTCTCGTATCTGTTTTTAATAAATTCCATTGTTTTGTAGCGTCAGGTACACGTGAGTTTCTAAATAGTTTTAATCTGCACCTAGGAACAATTATAAATCTTGTTTTTACGGGTATTATATGTGGATACATGTTCACGCTTGTTGGGGACAATATCTTTCAAACATTCTGATACTCGTCCGGTATGAATTTTGTACATAGTACTTATTTTAGCAATATATATCGTCTGATTTTTAAAGTTTCCCATCCAGTTTCAGAATAAAGTGCACAAATATAGGGCGCCCGGTTACAATTCCAGCGGCGACTAATTGTACTTTTTCAAGTATTTCTGCATGATATTTCCGAGGAGCCATCCCAAACAATTGAAGCATATTCAAGCATAGATCTGATGAATGTAATTTACAGTTTTGTTAAGATTTTTCTACCCATTTTGAACGTTAACCTCTTTAAAAGGCCACGTTTATTTAATTGGCACTGTTTACAACTCCATCAATATATTCAGACTTACTAAGATTTTGCGACAATAGCAAACCCAAATGGCGATGGACTGGAAAACACTCAAGACTATCGCTTTAAAAAAATAACTTTGGCATAACACAAATGTTTTTCTTATTGAAATAAACTACCTTAGTTTTAGATGGATTGAATTTGAGTAGCTATTTATTTGACTTAATTTCCAATATGTGTAAATCATTATTCAATTTCAACCTCATTAAAATCAGAACTTTGTTACGGTGCAGCGACCATCAGAATTTCGGAGATTAACAAAGATCTGATTTTAATCAGATTGGATTCAATTTGTATTCTATATCCCATATATTGTATGATGATTGTTTGAGGGAATTATCATCCGCAAAAAATCTACACATTGAAATTATATTTTTTAGCAACATCATTTATCATGTTTATATAAATAAGAAATAACAGTGGACCTAAAACGAAACCCTGAGGTACACCTGCAAAAATATCTTGTTTTGATGATAAAATCTTTGTACATAACGTTTTGAGACCTTTGACTTAGATAACCGGAAAACCATTGGAGAATATCACCAGATATACCATAAGTTTGCAATTTAAATAGAAGCCGTTTGTGCCAAACTCTATCAAAAGCCTTTGAAAGATCACAAAAAAACCACACAGCATGATTTGACATCATCTATGTTTTGAACAATACTATGATATGTTTGTAGTAATTGATATACAGTTGAATGACCAGGTAGATATTCTGCTTGGTAACGATAAAATAAATCATTGATATGGAAATAATTGTACACGTGTTGAAAAATAATTCTCCCCATAATTTCCTTATACAGGATAGTAAGGATACATGTCTGTAGTGTTGGAAACCACTGAGGGGTTATTCTTTTTGAAAAGAGTAATCACATGGGCTAATTTCCAAAAAGATGAGAAAACCTTTTCTGACAACGACCTATTAAATAACATAGTAAGTGGTTTAACAACAGTAGAAATAGTCGATTTTAACATTCTATGGCGAATACAATCTGGGCCAATACTTTATTCACGGGAAGTATTGACTTTATGCCTAAAACTGTGAAATCACTAATATTCGGGGGGGGGGGGGGTCATTTTCGTTGTTTTAATTTTGTGGTATGAAGAGACTCACGAATTTATGTCTACAACGAAATGTAAATTTTTATATACACAACCACTAAAAAGTTCTTCATCCACGAAATCAAATCCCCACGAACCAACATTTTTTCCTCAAAGCACGAAAATTTGACCTCACGAAAATATGTGATTCCGGTCTCAGTCACCTT